GTAGCCGGAGCATAAGACAGCCCTTGAGGCATGACTAGCCACTCTCAAAGCATACCGCTTGGCGTACTAACTGCTTTCTAGAGATATGCGTCTGTGCCAGCATAGTGGCCGCATTAAGCTTATTGTAAGCATGCACAATACGTCACATTCTATTTGGCTTTCTGACACAAAAATGTCGGTGTCGAGTGCGGAGACTTTCTCGTACACACAATTCCAGCCGCTTACTTTGCACGAATGAACTTATTAATGACGTCACACTGCTACTTTGGTGAGAGCCATTGCCTTGTGCCACATTACTTACTTTTAAGAATTAGGTCAATTTCATAACGTACACCTCGGTCAGGAGGCAGAGTGGAAGGTGAAACGCGACATATCACATCCTGGAACTCCTTTTAAAAGTATAAAACGGGTCTTCAGGATCTTTCAAGATCTATGACCCACTTCGAGCACTCATTGCCTCCTTTTTATCTACCAATACAGCCTCGTCAAGAAGTGATGATGAGTTTAACTCACAATCGGATCTAAAAACCACCACTTCAAATAAGTCATCCAACTTCAAGGTCAGGCCAAACTCATCGACAGACATTTTGCCTAGCTCTAACAGAATATTTTGGTTAGAGTCTCAAGACTCACTGACCCATCAACGTCACCAGTCACTCCACTAACGAGTGTATAGCTGCTCGCTAGTATCACTTAGTGACGTAACAGACGCCTGACGTTGCAAAGCAGCAATGTGGCGTCGCTGTCGTCTCTTAAAAGAGGCTGAATGTATCAAAGAGACTGGAACTTACTCGTACCTAAGGTTGATATCATCATCATCCTTAACTTGCTCTGCACAAGAGCCGGGTCATTACCAACACCCGGGAAATCGCTGTTCCCAAGGTTGACATGACCTTTAATTCTAAATTGCTCATCACTAAAGCTGATATCATTACTGACATCCGGTACGACCCTGTTCTCTAGGTCACGAATCCCGTTTACCTTAATCTGCCCATTATCAGGTTCGATGTCATCACCGACATCCGGGACTACACTGTCCACAAGGTGACAAGCTTTGTCAGCCTTAATTTGATCGATGTAATGATCCGATGTCATTACCGACATCTGGTAATGAATAAATATCAGTAAAATCACCACCCAGTGGGTACTTACTTGCCACACCTCGCTCATCGACGTCGCCCTTGATGACTTGGTATTTTACCAGCAATTTCTTGGCTGATATTCAGTGTGTCGTAATCACGGCCAACATCACTCAGTGAATACTTACGTGCCACTCCACGCTCACCAGATGGGTTCAGCCCATGATTACTTGGCTCTAGTCCAGCAATGCATTCAGCATTTAGTGATTCATTATCACAACAATTATCACTTGACGGAGTACGTGCCGTCTCACTAACAGTCATTGAGCTTGGCTTATAAAAAGCATCTTTGACATCGTCCAAATCAATGAGTTCAGGCATACCGATGTCCAGCACACTGCCTGTCTCAGTCCGTGGCTCCCGCCGATAGCGCTTCTGTTGCCTAGCAGAGTTTGGCTTATGACTCTCGAAAGCTTTACTAGGGAACAGTGCGCGTTGCGCCTAAGGTCTTTGACCTCCAATCAACTTATGGCTCATGGCGTTCTAGCCAAGCCAGACCAAGGATGAATCATACCTCTCATGCAAGTCAAGGACTAGACAGCGTTCTACACTGTCAAAGTCCGAAAACTTAACGCTTAGGTTCACAAAACCTTTAGGCACAGTGAATAATGCACCTGTCACCAAGCGAACAGTGATATTCACATTCTTTCGCGCTTTCAGTGCCTCATCATCCTGCTGACTACCCTCCAGGGAACAACGTCGAACTTAATTTTCTGCCCCCCAGGAGTCGATTAATATTGACCATGGCTTATAAAAGCCCTTCACGGTTGCTTTCGCGACTAACAAGCACGGCTTGCGCTCAAGCTTCGTGGCATCGCTCAACAAGCCACTTGGGGATACGCCCTGTTCTCCATCACCTCTCAGAGGTACAATAGAGCCTAAATCCTACCCAGCAGGGTGCCCCGCGCCTACTCAGAGTCGACGTCTTCCCGCGCCTTACCAATTCTTTTATTAGCGACGATAGGTCGGCTTGAATAAGCCTATATGGTCCTTCTCACAGGACAGCTCAGGCGGAGATGTTTGATGCTTCTGCACGCAGAACATTTACTAATGTTCGAACGCTTTTCGACAGCGCAGAGCTCAGCTTCTTCGTCTCTCTTAGCGAAACTAAGGTACATGGGTTCTACCCTATCCATTATTTGAGCATTGTCTGACGAGTTTGGTTGGAACCCATGAATCCTATAAAGGGCGCATTTAAGGATGAATTCTGCGTTCAGCGCTATTTTCACTGTACTCTTAGATGTCGAGGGTTAAGCATGGAATACTTCCGTTTTGGTAACGCCAGTGCGAAGGTGCCTCCATAAAAGTGGTTACTAAAACCGTATTCGGTAAATTTTTCGCTGCACAGCTTCAATAGAGTTTTTAACTTCTGGATATGATCAACTAAGTAACTTTTACCCTGGCAGGTTGACAGGAAGCGTGATCGCACGCGATATGCCTGATTAGTCGGGGTAAACACCCATATGGTTGATATTTTAGTAATTTCAGGTGGGAAAAGCCTCGTCTATAGAGGTGCCAGAAGTGAAGGCTTACTCCCTGGCTTGCCCACCTAACTTCGATAGGGCCAGGCCCGCCTCTTGCTAAACGGACCGCAGCAGGGCCGAGCTGATGGAAACCTCCAGCTCTTATACTCACAAAAGGAGATTTTCTCTCTCTTTACCCATAAAAATTCTAGATACTTATTCGAGACACGTAAGACCAGAGGGCGAGTCCTTGACTCAGTGTCCGGTGTTGGAACATACTTAGTGGTCAAGGCAGATGCCGAATGGTCATGTGTACCTGTCCGATCAACGTGGACTCAAAGTTCGAGTAGGCCTCAATACGTGCACGAAGTGCGTCTTGGCCTTGCGACACTATAAGAGCCACTTGCTCGTGCCTGATCAAGGCTTTGAGCTTCTTAAGCTTAGTCTGCTGGGCCTCAGAGAGGTTCATAGCCGTTTTCAACTTTTCAGAGGATTCAGTCTGTAAAGAATCAGGTGTAAATTGAATTCAAGTGCTACCAAGTGTAGCGGAGCTACTTAGCGCTCCTCAGCAGAAGAAGTCTTGGACTCATAGAGTCTCTTAGTTATGACAAACTAACAACGACGTACACTCGTTCAAGTGTACAAGCTTAATAATCCCGATTCTAAAGGGATTACGATCTCAAAATCACACACTAACTCGTCACTACTAGTATAACAAGAGTAAGCTCCTTGACAAGGCTAATGTGCTTGACTAAACACTACGCCTTTACTAGGCATTTGTGTCCGACGATTCAAAGGGGAACTGAACGTTATTGATATTTTATCTACGGTAATAAAACCATAAACCTTATCTGGCTGACTTGAGATCCTATGACAGAGGTCTTATCCCTTATCCCTAACCGATAAGGTGCGGTATTACCGTAAGTGCGTGGCACCAATACTCTACCACTCAGATCCACCGATATTTACTTGGTATGCACACACAACATAACCCTTTCAATTAGCCGCCGTGTAACCCCGTTAGATAAAAGGGACGGCATCCACGCCTTGAAAAGTTTAGTGACACACTCTTACATAATTCCCAACTTAATTGCGATTACTGAAATTTCACAATTTTGGAACCGCTGCGGTCAGCTTAAAAACCGACAATCAGCGATGCAAGATAATGAGTGAAATTAGTGATCGCAGTTAATTCGCATACACACAAATGTATTGTGTTTGTAATCTCGCAAAGAGTGTCCGATAGCGCCATGAGTTGGTGCACGGACTAGAACACCAAAAAAGACCAAAAAGGAGTAGACGTACATCGTTGATATGACGTTGAGCTATCTCGGGATGGTCCTTTTTGCCAGTGGTTCTTTGAAATTTACCCTTTGTGGTAAGTCTGGTCATTCCACGATTTAACAACATGAGCTTCAAACAACAGTTTGCTGTAATCCTATATCAAAAGAATGACAGCCGAATATAAATTGAACCCAGCCGTATAGCACTTGCCGTTAATTACGTTTTACAATCGGAGTTTACCCTAGCCGAACTATTAAAGGACAAATGAAACTTCGAAACACTTCAATTCTTTTTTTATGAGAAACAAATAAGACAGCACGACCTCGATGTTCAGTGATCAACCTTAGTTCTGAATTCATATTTACGACTGAGAATTGATTCGAAGTACTTTCCCACAAAATGTTAGCACTTCACTATGCCATGTAAATAGTTTTGCAATACCCCACAAACCGCACTCACTATAAACGCATCGAGCGTAGACTAATGTCAGATAAAATACGATTCTATATTTGTGCAGCGCGAATGTAGGATTGCATGCTTTTTCGTGCCATCGAAATTAGAATCAGAAACGTCTGCCAACATAAATTTAGTGGAAGCGTACTTAAGCGGAACAAGGCAGATTTATAGCATAAACTACCAAGCTGATCGTGAAAACGGTTCGAAAAAAGATTAAAAAGCAGACAGCTGAATTAAAGTAAGGGTGTCGATGCGTCGTTAGTGCGTCGCAATCGCTTGCAGACGAACCATTGCGGTATTGCGTTTTTCCACTGCTTCTGTCGGTGTTTTGTACTATCGCGTGCATACAATTTCAACGTAGCTCACCGAAAAAAAAAACTCATTTGTGCAATGCTCTCGCACTCGTTGATCGACAGGGCAACACGTACCCGAAACAAATTGCGTAGGAGCTGATGTTCTATCCCTCGCACCGCCCATAGAACTGACCAGCATCACGCACGCTCTGATTTCAGTGTCCTGTCCAAACTGCCCAATTCGGCAGCACCAAGCGCATACCGGTGTTCAAGGTACCACACCCATCCAGCCGTCGCAGCCACGAAATAATCACAACGACTTGCAAGGCAGCTTAGCTGCTCTTCTTCTAGTGCCACCTCATCACTTATGGCAGATTCCGGTTCTGGACCTCAGCGGGTACACTTCCCGCAGCCTTGGACAGAAACTCATCATCAAATTCCTGCATCAGATAGACTGACAGACAGACAGCCGGACGTCGTCTGTCTACCACGTTCTTTCGAGCTCTAGAAGCACAAAAATCTCAAGCGTAACGCCCTACCAGCACGCCTACGTGTCCTCTCACTTTTCATCATGAGCTCTCCCGCCTACTTTAGCACTCTCGAGCTCAGTCAACCCCCCGCCACCTCCACCAGCACCAGCAGCACCACCAGCAGCACTCGCAAGCACAAGTCCCACCACTTGTTACCTTATTCTATCGATACAAACGAGGAGCTCACTTGGGCCATGACGGGGTCGACACTCACCCCCCTCGCTCCCGAACAGCTACTAGAGTCCCTCTCTCCACCACTCATGAAGTCCGTCTCCTCCGATCCCAAGTAGTCGAAATGGAAGAAGAACTGCGTCGTTTGAATGAAAAATGGACCACCGAGGTCCTCGATCCACGCACGTTGGCACTTGCCCAGCACTCGGCGAGAGAGAAGCACAAAGCCAAGCAAAGCGAGCAGACGCACCAGGCGCTGCAGCAGATGCTGCTCCAGCAGCAGTTGGTCTTTGCGACTTTACAGTCGGCAATGGCGCGGGCTCCTCTGCACTCGAGTGGTCAAGCTATCTTTGAGGCCCTCCACTTTAACACTCACCTCAACCGCAATCCCAACGAGAGGGAACAGGTGCTTCTGGCTCATCACCAGCGGTCGATTGCGGCGCTGCCGTCGATCGTTGAGAAACTGACGCAGATGGCAATAAACAAGGTCGTTGCAAGCCAGAAGGAGGACAAGCAGATGGAACAGGGGATGCCGCTGTCGCAGATTGACGTGACAGGGTGCAGGGATTCCACTCTTATATCGAGCGTCTTTATCACCAAGATCCCACACACGTCCCTCGAGGAAGTGTATGCGGCAGTTATGGCCTACTTTGACGGCATCCCGACCTCCATGAAGCGTCATTTTAATGTGAACGCCGAGCGTGTCCGACTGAACAGTGAGGACTCACCCGTGGTGTACCGTCGCTCGACGTTCCAAGGAGCAGGGCTCCCTGCCATTGTGAACAATGTCATCTGCTCGGAGCTGACGTCTTCACATGGGATGGTGCACATTGACGCAATCGTTGACGACCCGCTGCATCCGGTTCACAAGAGTTTGTCGTCCCAGTATGGAATTGGTGCACTCACTGTCACACCTCAACAGGATGCGGTGCCTGGACAGCCGACGTCGGTGACGTTACGGTGGGTTGTTGTTTACCACTACAACATGCTGCCAGATGACTTGGCCCTCAAGAAGGACCTGGAGATTATCCGACCTCTTCTAAACGGAGACCTACTCACAGCGACCGTGTGCGACTACATTCAACAACACCAGCAGCAGCTGCTAGGTCCTACCAACTAGGTTGTCATACGGAAGTGCCATGTAAATTAGGAATACAAGTGGTGTGTGTTCGAGTGGGTTGCGGCATTCTTGGTGTGACTACAGCATAATTTACTGTGAATTGCTTGGACATTAAACAATTTGCTATTGACTGGTTCTTACAAAGTGTGCCGACATTAACTTGTATCTGTGCTTTGTACGCCGTTGGGATGGTCCTTTGCGAACGAGCACCGCTGCATACATTCGGCAAGTCAACTGTCTCGACTTGGATACACATACAGAGCAATTGCTCAATTTTTTGTGATTTGCAGGATTTGCCGGTTGTTTGTCGACGAGAATGAAGAACGTCGACGAAAAATGAGCAGCATGTGAAAAAATGAGCAGCATATGAAAAAATGAGCGCAGCTGACAAGAAATGAGCAAATGTGAAAAATGAACACAGCTGACAGAAAATAAGCACCTATGATTAATCAGTGACGAAGAATGAGCAGTTGCGACAAATCATTCGAATATTAATACAAATTTCGGATTATTGCTTCATCGAAGTGCAGTGTGGTTCTTCTTCCTGTCGGTTGCACGACCACGTACCGTGCTGTCATAATTAGGCCTTCACATCTGCTTTATTTACATAGCGCATGTTGAATAATCCAAGTCGAATACGTGGTACAGCCTAAGGCTCCGTACCGCGCAGGATGGGACGTAGGATGCTGCAGGACGAGATCATTGTGCATTTCACACTACAAATATTTCGTAACGACCACTCCCGTCGACACATTATCGCATCCGCAGGTATCGATGGTGCTCAAGAATAAGAACATGATTAAACGGTAAAATTCTTCTCTTTGTAATCAATGCTTACCTGCTACAAGAAAGGTAGAAGCTCACTGCCTTATCGTCTCGATCGTTATCGGTGCTACTGATGGCATGGTCATGCGAGAAGGGCTCGTTTTAAATGTGGTGGTAAGGACATTCCTACGGCTTAGCGCATGCATCAACATCAATGCAGTAGAAATTTAGTGAGTAGCGACATCTTGAAGTACGATTTTGGCCAAAGTTTTATCTAATGCGATTGCTCTTAGGCGATTTTGACGTTTGGTGGAACAGTTCAACCTCTTGGCGAGGCTTTTGAGCAATCTAGTTACTACTAAAACATTTCACCTTCACCATGGCTTGAAGCCGCGAGGCTCAATTCGCCGAAGTTTGGATTTCATCATTTCTAATTTGTACTTACTCAAATAGTTGTTCACTATACAGTCGACAACATTAGTACTCGCGCTCGTATACACAAAGGGGCTTGGTGTGGAATGAGCGGAATGAGCGATGTGCAAAGATTGTCAGGAGTTGTTGTTGTTGTCATGTCCGTCTATTAACATATGATTATGCTAAAGATGTCTGAAAACTTCTAAGCCAGGACAATAGCTCCGGAACTGGTAGCTTGTCGTGGCTGTCACCTAAAGGTATCGGCTTATCCCGAGGTTCGAGAATAAAGAGGTCGATACAGGTATGCATGATAGCCCCGGTGACAGCTGTGGCGGGACCGCGATGTTCGCGTTTTGCTAACGCGGTAAGATGTCGAATTCCCAGCGCCCAAAAACGCGCGGCGCTGTGGAGAGGCGTCGACTGCACTCCTCGAAAAACCGCGTGTTCCGCTCATTCCATAAGTGAGTCAGACAAATGCTGCTCATAATAAACCAGAGACGCTTCCAAACCGCGACACCAGCCTCTAAGTCCTCCGGGAGCATATGGTAAATCCGAAGACGCTGCTTGGACGGTATCTCCGGCGCGTGACGATTCACACTCCCGACGAACCAACGCTCTTCCCACGGCCTCCCAGCCCGTTCACCTGTCAATGGGTAATGAGTTGACCCAGCACGCGCGCTTGGGGCAGTCCCAAAGATGTGAGCCGGCGTTTCTTTGCAACCGTGACACGCCAATAACGCCCGGCAACTATTGTCCGCCGGACGGCGGCATGGTACAAGTTGAGTTGCTTGGTGGCTATACGGTAACACGTCCAGACCTGATGGTCGGAAAGGCCATTGTCATGCTTCAAACGTGTGCCGGGTCTTGGTTTGCGGCAGCCCGCTGCCACTGATCGAAGTCACAGACGGCCTCCAGACGCCGCACCAGCGGTGCAATGCGACTGCAAGAAGTCTTTTGTGAAACGTGAACGCCAGGCGTGAAATAGCTTTTCGTATAGCTAAGTTCGCGACCGACTCGGCGACGGCCCAAGGAAAGCCATGATGCGGGATGGGAGTAAAACACGACGCCGTGACGACGAAGCGTAGGGCCCAAACGGATCTGTCCTCGTCGAATTAGTAGATAACTCTGGTAGGTGAGTGGTGAAAACCAGCGAATTCCATCCGCACTCTGCTGCAGTTCAACAGGCTGGTCAGCGACTTCCAGTACCCTCTCGCCTCCCGACCACTCGACCTGTTGGACCGAGGCCCAGGTCCATTCAGTCGAAAGGTGGTGCATGGCGAAGAACCAGCTCAGGTTCGAGCTAATTCGCCCCAATGGGGAACGTAGGGGATGCCAGCAAGATTGCCGTCGCCCACCGACGGAGTTACGCGAGTGGTGAAAGATCGGGGTCAACGGCTTAATGCGAAAATAAATTCAGTTGGCCCTGTTCGCCGAATGTGCAGGTCGAGATGGGGCAGATGGCGATCCTGTCATAGGTAGCGGATTTTAACGAGAGGCCATTGCCGTCCTGGATCCAGGGTTATTACTCCAGCCTAGTGTCCCCCAAAAGGATGAATCGACACTGTTGAGGATCGAGGCAGGTAACCCAGCCGGAAAGGGTGATGATACGACAGACCCATTCTCCTCCTCCCACCAGCTACTGGCGCCGTGGAGGATGGGGTGGTAGTACGTTCGTACCGCTCGCTGAAATGTGGCTTGCTCTACCGTAGGGTGTGAAGCTGTCAAGTCGGTACCATGAATTTGGGGAGGTGCCCCGAAGATGAGCCAGCTGCCTGGTCCTGCAATGGAGAACAGACTCGAATTTGCGGCGGCCTTGATAAGCCCAGCACTCCAGGCTCCAAAATACTTGTCCTGAGCTTGTGTGACCACTGTAAAGGTGCTTGGTAGCTGGTTTTAATAGCCACCTCCAAAGACAACCCAACCCCCTGCCTTTTTGGGGGTGAAAGTAGTCCGGGTTAATCTTGGTGCTGGCTTCCGTTGAAGTATGAGCCCATAAAAATTGTTTGTACAGGTTGTGACAGCAAGTCGTGCCACTCAGGATATCGAAACCGCGCCGTGAAAGAAAGAGGGAGATGAGGAGTTGAGGATCAACACCCGATTATGGTCGCACCCTGAAGTGTCATTAGCCTCCGTTGAAGTTCCGGATACGAAGGCCAGTTGCAATTGTGTAAGGTCTCAGTCCTACTTGATAGCCCAGGTATCGCACTGCGATGTTGAAGGACAGCCCCCATATGGCTACTAAGCCCGATTAAGAAAATGATCTGATCTTGAGGGTTGGGCAACTAGCCCTGATAGGGCCCAAATTGAGAGAGAAGAGTATCGCGCTCTAGCTGACTGCCTTTCGAGAAAGATGTGATCATAAAATGAAAAACGTTTGGATGTGCAGGAAGGAAGCCCAGAAATCTGATTGTACCACCAATATTCACCAGACAGAAAAGAAAGGGGAGTGAGCCTGGATAAAAGAGAGATGAGAAGTTCCCATTTAAAAGGAAGTACCAGTATGTAGAGAGTTATAAGCTGAACATACCTTTCCGGAAACAAATTGGAAGAGTCATACAATCGCGATGAGTGTCATAAGCCTTGGGAAATCAGTAGGAGGTACTCGCTGTGTCGGCGGATGTAGTTGTATCGATGTTTTCGCAGTTGAGGAGATCATCAACACTAGTTTAGAATCTGGGTCGTGTACGAAGCCTTGCTGATAAATGACTTTTGGTAATAGCGTTGAGTCGTGTTGCAGCACTTTGCAAAGATCTGAGTGGTTTGGAGTGAGAAATCGGTCTGTAATCCATGATCCGCCAGTCTCCTTTTTCGAAGGGTATGATCAAAGCTTCGAGAAATGAAGGGGGGGATCAGCTCCAGCCAAAATTGATTGCTGAGTGAAGGGGGGGAAAGAAGTGCAGACGTATCCTTGTAAAAATCGTTGTTGAGCCCGTCCAGTCCCGCCGACTTATGTCGACTGAGCCCAGAAACGGCTGCAAGGACTTCCGCTTCCGAAAAATCAGCCAAGAGGCCCGGTTGTCGGCAGAAGCAAGACTCGGTCTGTGGGTAGATTGACAAAACGGCGAATGGCTGACGGCAAGTCCACTCTCTCCTCCTGGCAATGAACTTTGCCAAGGACTGTAGCCATTCGGAAATTTACCATTAGTCATATCGGTAAAGGGGTGGATGCAAATTGTTGTGATGTTTGATTGTTCCCAGTGCAACGCTTAAAAAAGAACTGGTCAGCCGTCTGCATTCTGCCAGTGCAATGTTTGCCTAATTCCTCCATATTGAGGAGATAAATGCGGGTCAGAGAGGTCGCCGAGCTCTGCCCTGAATCTTCCGACAAATCGCGCTCTGCGCTGTTTGACCCGCTTCCGGATGCGTGAACGCACTGTTGACACTCTGTGAAGCCCAAGTGAGTAAAACGCTCTGACCTATAGCCCTTCGTCCATTTCGGAGAGTCAACATCCCCAGGTTCGATGAAAACATATGTTAACCATGACGAACGAGGTTTGCAGGTCACGTAGGTGTAACAACCTCCTGATGCACTGATTGGATGCAGCGCTTCAACCACGCACCGACCTACACCTCAGCACATAAAACGATCGAATCAGGTCCCCATTCAAAGTGAAACAGAGGAGCAGTGCCCTCGTCATCCAGACCAAATTCACCCAAGCAGTGTCCAATGGGTCAGGGCAGTTTCGATTGATCGTAACTAGATGAAGAGATGGAGCAGTTAAAGGCCGCCATAATAGTGTTGAGCCAAATTCCAGCTAGAAAAGTAAAAAGTCTCCCGTTCACCTCGCAGTGTAGTGTAACATTGATCAAAATCCTCCAATGGAAATTGCATGGGGGTGACAGTTGTTCCAGGCCAAGTGTAAGAAGAGGGTAAAAGAAAACAGAGGCTAAGCAATAAGAAGAAGAGGATCAAGTGGACCCCATAACTCACGAACTCAGCTAGCCTTTATATAGTTCCTGAAACAAAGCGGAGATCTGAGCATAGCAGCGACAACCACCCTCCGAGGCTAGCCTTGAAGCCCCTCACGTTTTGAGAAATAAAATGTCCCCACGAGAAATGATCAAGAAGCAAGGAGAAGTCGTGAAGTTTGAGGCTGTAGGTAGTTCTCAAAAAAGGAATCGGCTGAAGAGAAATTCTGAAGTGCCCTTAGTACTGAACCTTGTCTGGGGCCAAAGGTAGTAAAATAGGAAGAAGTCAGTGATCGACATCCCGTCTGAGTAGTATTTGAGGATATTGCAAGTAAGAAGTGAATTGAGGGACTGGTTGCCAGTCCCGTCAGGAAAATCTCGTTTGAACACGATAACATAGGTGGTGACTCATTCGATCTGGGTCACACAATCGTAAAAGTCGTCCCCGCATAGTTAATCCTCGCAATTTCTCAATTGGAATTTCAATCAAGGAGAGAGAGAAAGCTATGAATCATTGGTGAGCAAACACTGGGAGTCTGTCACTCGTTAATTCTAGGAGCCGGATAATAAGACTGGCCACAGCGTCCACTGTAAAAAACTGTGTCGGACAAGTAAAGTACTTCGTCTGGAAAGACGAAGGCGCAATGATGTAGTAACAATTCCGGTCAAAGAGCCGTAGCCTCCACCCGTTGAGTTCCATATACTAGAGGATACGGTTGCTGCGACGGGCCATTGGCTCCCAGATAATCCAGAGCTCTGGCCATTCGTCCGATCGATTCGTCGTCCGGCGTCTAGTGAAGATTTCCGAAGGCGAAGAACCCGACCTTTTGGGGCCGATCGGAAAAGACCTGATCCGCAGACGCCGCCAGGGGGGGGGAGCGCCGTGGCCCCGTTTCCGCGCCGCAGAGGCCATCCCGCGTTCGCGAAGCTGCTCGAAGTAGAAGTTAAAGCCAATTGACAGAGGGTTGTGCCGAGGTTCGAGGACGGTCTCCAGGTGAAAGGAGATGAGTGGTCACGGAGGAAAGTTTGGTCTGAAGTGCTGAAGGCTTTTCTCTCATGACAACGTGTGGCTCTAGTGTCCCGAAGGAGTGGAGGATCCTGAGTGAATCGGCCCGTCCTGGGTATCGGTAAGGTTTAACGGATCGGCCACTCCCGCTAATGGAGAATGAAGTGGCTGCCGCCAAACCGCAAACTAAGGTAGACCTGACTCGCCCCGACTTTGGTAGCCTGCAGCTCGTCGATACAGCATAATAGAAAGGGGGTACTCTTTTACAAAACGCCGTCCCCGTAAGTATGAAAGGGGATATTGCGCAAGCACTGAGGGTGGCTTCTTCGCGTTGAAGAAAAATTCTCTCTGTAAAAACTGTGCATGCCAGTGTGTCACTGCCCCCAACAGTCCGTAGGATGGAAGTTCGCCCCGATGGGGTGGCCGCGAAGTCCGTCAAAAACAGGGAATTGAGAAGCCGACTCTGGGGTCATGACCACCACGGCCCACGTTCTAAGTGCCTGCACCCGCAAGTCGTGAGGGACCTGATCTTCCAAGTTCAAGAGTCCTGTACACGTGATACCTCGTTTAATGAAGCCGTGGAGCTCCTGGTCCTTGGTAGGGGCGGTCAAGGCAGATCAGCCACCGCTTGAGAAGAGCTATGCAAAATTGGCGCTGGAGTGTTTATTTCCGAAGTCCCAGAATACTACAAGTCGCCCATGTGGATGGGTTCCGCTAACGGCTTAGGATCCATGGGTATCGAGTGCATTGCCGATCGAGCAGCTTTAAAAGCTTTTGAAGTCAGAGTTCGTCGCTGTGGGTCAAGAGGGACCGCGATAATACCGCCGGGCCCCGAATACGCTGCTTGTTTGCCTGATCTCCGGCAGAGAAGGGGACAGCCTGCCGAAAAGAGGAGTGAGAGCCTCCAGTCCCGGCGCGGAGGCAGAGGGAATGCCTTCAAATGGGGAAGACGGACCTCCTCTGCCCTATATCCTCTGGAGAAGTGATAATCCGCTGCTAGTTAGAGGGGGGAAGGCTGAACTGGGGGCCAAGGCCGACGACCCCTCGAAGGGGCGTCTCATCCATGGCTGTTCGGGGGGGTTTTGGGGCCGGAGGAGGGGGCGCGTGCGGACATGAGTAGTATACACCGATTGGATAGGTATACCTGTTGGCTGGGGTCGGCGGCCGGCGGTGGACTGGAAGTGGCGACCAGTACCGCCGGAGTCACCGCAGCTGAGCGCTATCGGCTGATTGCTGCACAACCAGTGTCGCTGCGCCATTTGCCCATTTATCAGGGCTACTAAACGGTTTGGCCAGATCTTCAACAGCTAAAAGCTCGGCTTCGTGGACTCCAGCGCCGGCCCCGCAACTGCGCATCAGTAAACTGACACCTCGACGCGGGTGGCCTAGCGTACACATTGCAAACATTGGAGGCGAGGCCCACGTCGGATGCCGGACGATAATGGGGGTCCCAAACCAAAGCAGTCTGACTACTCCTTGGAGAAAGGTCGGGCAACCCGCCAGATGAAGGTGACTTTCCAGGCAGTGGAGTACTGAGTTCGGGGTGCAGGTATCCATATCCTCCAGCTCAAAATCCGTTGGTATCTTGAGCGGAGGTAGGCGCAATGCGCCCAATATCATCAAACCGGGTGAGATTATACAGCAAAATGGTGTACGCTGCCCGAGGGTGGCTGACCGCCCGTCTGGTCCCCGCTGATTCAACCAGACCGAGCCCCTGACCGGGTGATGAACATTCTCGAGCGTGTAGCCCTCCTGAAAAGGCACTACGAATCCTGTGCGCCTTAGCAATGGCTCGCGTAAAGAAATAGAAGTGGATTGAACGGGTAGAACGATTGTAGCTTATCGTCTTGGCCAACCCGAGGAAACGGTGAAGATCCGGCAGCAGACCCGCAAGATTTCCGCCGATTCAAAATCTTCTCCGTAATAGCGTGGGTGTCCGGCGTCAATTGGGATATACGACCATGTCTAAGTTGTAAGACTAACTGTCCCTCGACCTGCCTGAAAGTCCGACACAACCGAAGCCGCTCGTCGCTGTCGAAGAAGAATTGAGAAAATCAGGCAGCCGAGACAGGCAATAAGCCCTTCCGCAATCCCAATGATGATGCGCCATTCATCATCTGTACCTCGCGCAGACGGTGAGTACCTGTCAAGTTAAGGCGCGTTGCGCAAATGGCTCGGAGCGTGGTCGTCTCTTCCTCCGAAAATGTGCCGGATCAAACATAAAGTCATCGAAACGGGACGCTGCTGCTGTCGTACTGCAGGTGCAGAGACTGCCTGTCTGCACGACTTGAGACCACAGCCGCGGATTGGAGCCACAGCCCATTTCTGTCGGCTGGCCAGTGCGCAAGATTTCTTTGAAGCCCACTTCGTGACGAGGATCTCCTTACTGATCTGGTGGGCTAAAGGGTCAGTCGACGTAGCGGCCGGATGTCACAAAAAAATTGCTTAAACAAATCCAGAAATCACCAGCTCGGTACTTGTGAGCTTGGGATACCGTTTGCGTTCGGCCGGCAAGCGTCGAAGCTGACTGGAAGGGGGCAAATTCCAGCGCAAATAACTCCTGGATGGTCTGGCGCCAGACATCTAGGTACGGGGCCCGAAGAAGCCTTCATCGCGCGGTAAGGGCCTCAAACATGTCGCGCGGATGAACTGGGGGCGTGAAAGCCTGCGAAGGGACGAGGAGGACTCGAACCCTCCCCCGAAGGCGCCCGGTGGGTCCGTCTTGCCGCGGCGTTACTGCATCTGTCTTGCCGCTACGCAGCGGCTGGTCTGCCATGGTGAAGGAAGCATCCCTGCCAAGCCTGACTCCCTAGCCACTGAGGGGGTCGGCATCAGAGTCCGCGAGAGGAGAAGATACGGCGTGCCCTGGAACCCCTGTCCCGTGAGCAAAGATGGGCTGTACTGGAGCCCTGTCCCGTGAGCAGCAGATGCGGCGTGTGCTTGAGCCCTTGCCCCGTTTGCAGAGGATGAGGGGCTACCAGCGAGAGAGAAGGAGCCTTCTCCGAGGCCCCGCGTCCTCCGGTAAGTCGAGGGCCGGGCTAGAGTTTCCCAAGTCGTCCGGCTGGCCCCTTGGCAAAGCCGCGTCCCCCCCCCTGTCGGGAGGGGGGCATGGTGGCGGCTCCAGAGCCGTCGTTCGAGAAAAGCTGGCTAACGCCAGTTCGTGTACTGTTTATACTCCCCCACCCAGCACTGCAGATTGAAGAGTGGATTGTCAGGAGTTGTATTCACCCGTCGAGTGCGCTCTCCGATCTTGCACATCATCATAGAACAGAGAGAAACACCGATTATGGGAGGTATCGATTAATGGACAGGCGCCATCATCTGATTTACGCTCCATGGACCGCACGACTTCGATGACTGAGTGACTGTGAGGCGGGCCAGGCTCCGACGAATTGTGATATGTAGAAAGTATCGCACGTCGTTAATGCGATCAGTTGTGCTACAGTAATACACGCAACCGACTACATCGACAACGAGAGATCCGGCTTTGTAGACGACAACGATTGTCAGTGTACGTTTTCCTTCGTCTTCTTCTCCTTCTTCTGTTTCTTCTGTTTCTTAGAGCCTCATGCGTCCACCACCAGTTGCTACCATCTGTCAACGAGTCGTCCGTCTGCGAGGCCCCGTGTCGAAAAAACACGACACAGCCTCTAGGACCGAGTGTGTTCAGCAGACCTATTACGCAGCAGGACAGTCGGTCGAAGCCGACCTACAGCAGCTGATGCACGACCAGCTCGCACGTTGACTCTACTGCATCTAGAATCTGAACCGAGATTCCCGCGGCGCGTGAACAGCGGACGGGCCTGTCTGAGCATCCGAAAGGAGCTCAATGTTTACTTGGCTCGTACTGCGACCACTTGTCGCCTTACGACAGCGAGACAACGACAAACAGTGCACCGTCGACTCGTGACCTCGTCTTCACGAGGACCAGAGACCATGTATAAGCACTAAACAGTTGGACCATTACGACCAAGTCAGCGAACGAGATGTTGTCATTATGTCGTTAACCACTTCTGGATGCGGAAGTCACGCAACCGCATCGACTTTGCGCCATCAAGTTCCCGAATGTCAACCATTTGATTATCTCCTCCCTGCCCGTCCTCACACGCAACACTCCAAATCGACACCACCTGTCAAGTAGCACGCACGTGCTTCCCATCGGCCAATCGCTCGAAACAAAGAGCAGCCAACGGCACCACCTCGAAATGCCCTTCGGCGTATGTATGTAGCAAAAAGACCTCGAATCAACTTTATGGTAAAGTCGAGTAAGAGCAAGTGACAACAAGACGAAAAAACGAGCTCATCGACGTCACGCGTAACCTGCCTACCTGCTGTATCTTGAACAAAGGTCTGCATCTGTATCTGCTCCTGCTGATTCAGCGCCCTCAAACACTCATCGTCATCATTCGACTAACGAACCACATACATCCGTACATACGAGCATCCACACTCGAAAGCTCGAGCTCATCAATTGATCCATCGATCAATCGATCCATTCACGTTAGGTGCCGGAGCGAGGTAGTGGATAGAGACGACGCAATTTGTCGCCGTCGCCACGCGTCAATCGTCCGGTCATATCCGACGCCAGCAAAAGAAGATTCTCGACAACGTTGGTCTCTCCTCATTTTCGGCATGTCAGGTCGACAAGAGGGACCTTCACGTGCCGACCCAGTGACAGCCTGTACATCAGCTCGAAAGTCAGGCAACTCGTTCGGTTCGTCGCCTCGAAGAACCACGATTTCTGCTGCGGTGCCGTCTCTTTCAATGTCTCAAGAGATCTCCTCATCCCCGTGAGCTCATTTTCTTGTCGTTGTGGTGTTTCGTTGATGATGCTTTGATTGGTTGCTGTAGCATGAGGTGAAGGCGTTACGGATGGAAGCCAAGCTACTGGACGAGCAGTTTACAGCGCTCTGTGCCAAGTGGCAAGCGGCGCTGCCCGAACGGGAAGTACTGCTGGCAGCTTGCACGGCTGCCAAGCAGAAGACCGTTACGGGGCAAGTCGAGCAGCTCAATGCCCAGCTTAAGGACGAACTGCTGCAACAGCAGCTCTACTTTTCAGCGCTGCAGCAGAAACTCACGCAGGCGCCTGTGTGGTCGCACTCGGCCATGTGTCAAGAGCTTTTCGGTCGCCTGCACGGGTACTTGCACCTCGTGGGAGTGGATCTTGGGGATCATAAGAAGACCCTGCAAGCTCGATTTGAAGTCGCGGTGCGGTTCGCACCTGACCTCGTGGACACATTTACCTGTGAATTCGTGCCCCTTACGTTACCGAATTTGCCGTTTTCACGGACGAGCACAGCAGCGACGACGGTGCCAAAACCAGTGAATGCAGGGGGAAGACTGGACGTGGACAACGGATGTGGTACGCTCGTTTCGAACGTACTTGTGTGCAAAGCTCCAGACGATGTCTGCATCCCGCAGGTCTTTCAAACTCTGGTTGACAAACTTAATCGTACCTCAATCGAGCTCGAAAATTGCCTTGATGTGCTGTTTGAAGTCAAGGTAGACTATTCGATATCTTATGGGAGGTCCTGTGCTGTTGGCGATATACTAATGGGCTAAGTGTTTTCCGTTTACTTTTCTCCTTTCTATTTCTTCGCTGTTCTTGCAGAGTAAAGTCCAGGTCGGACCATCCACGTACTACGCTCGCGTGGAGAGGAAGGATGGCGAAATGCGCGGAGCTTGTGCGAACCAAGCGTGGACCAGCAAGCTCGTGAGTGACGACTTGGCCGTGATTGTGACAGATTTTGTGGACGAAGATGATAGTGAAGTTGCGGAAGCAGCTCGAAGGAAAGGTCAGGAAGGTCAGGCCGGAATCAAAGGTGTGCCAATAATGTCACTTATTTCTGAGTCGAGTCTTCGCACGGAAACGTGCATGGTGCTCACCATCGCACGTGTGATCGATCCTGTGAAACATGTTCCGATTGTGCTCTTGCGTCGACTGCGCGTGCATCGGTACAACTTGCCACCCGACTCGCCCGTGGTACATCGCGAACTGCGTAAGCTGCTTCCGTATTTCAACGGTGACTTCCACATGACGATGCTCAGTGATGCATACACCACCGTGAAGAAGGAAGGTCAATTTTCGGTCGTTGGTACAGCATGCGACCGTTCTAATACGAAGGACGTGAAGGAGCTGGAGAAGGATGAAGGAACGAACGGCAATGAAGATCAAGCATTACCAAATTCACGATGAGCTATCTGAAGGTAGAAAGGGTATAATGCTACCAGCATTTTTGAAGAACGTGGTTTTCTTGGTGTAGTTTGGAGATTCATATCTTGTAGAGGCTATTGCGACTAAGTTGAGGTGGTCACGAAAACGTCGGGTCTCGCTTGGCATTTAGCAAATATTTCTTAGCAAAGTCAACTGAGTTCGATTAGGCTTTACCTTAGGTCACAAATGATGCAGTGTTGCGTACACAGTGTGCTCATTGGTATTCGGACGGGAAAGAGCAAGCCACAACGCTGGAAACTTACTAGCCCGTAAGATCGGTCCTATTAAGCCGCAACGGTCTATCTAATGGAGAAACAAACAGATGGAATGTATTTCTTTGGCTTAAAAATCAGTTTGAGTTGCAAAACGCTTGCCCAGCCTTTCAACGTCTTCTCAAATCGGTAGCGAGCTTCCGACCTATGCAAACAAGGAGTGCAAGTTGTTCTACGCAAAATGAAGAATGTGAAGCATGTTACGAGCGTGGCATACACTGTGCGCAAATGTGCATCTTTGGAGAAGAAGGGAGCTGCATACCATATGATCGCCACAGTCTGCAGCACTACGCCTATTTCATGATCTACAAGACTTTGCACGCCGCTGTGCAGACGAACCCCCTTTTAGACTTCCGCACTCGTCGCCGAGTATCTATCTCTCATGCACTCACTGAAGATGCGCGTGCGTGTGTACAGACTCATATAAAGTGAATTCGAAGACACTTTTCGATGAAGATTGCTACAGTTTTTATCCTGCCTTGTATGGCGACAAATACTGGATATACGTTTCGAGACTATTTCGTGTGATAGCGCTCATTCAAAATTTGCTCACACAAATCTGTAAATTATGTCAATAATTCATTGATAAATCATTAGGGTTAAGAAATCAAGTGCCAATTTTTAGAACTTGGCAAATTAATAAAGGGAGTCTTTCAGCCACTAATCGTTTTTGGTATCACCACACACCTCTAAGATAGGGGAGCAAGCTCTGGAGCTCGCCCTTTGAAATCAGTAATTCAGTCTAAAGAACTGACGCATCACACTATAAAAATAGTAGTCAGTCGAGATGCTGTAAATTTCTATATTAGTGCAGTACAGCAACGCGATTCCCCTTTGCTTATGAGCGTCCAGCATCTGCTTTATGTGATCATAAGGACCTTTATTCGATTATGAGCCAATGGCAAGCGTGTGTCATAATAGTGACCTAGCCAAAGAGTGACTTCAGATGTTCCTGCAGACCTACGAGGAAAGGTTAGGCTAGATCGCACTTATACGTGTAAGGTGCACCTAGCCACGTTTTTTTAACACACACAGATCGACACAATTTTGAAGGTTCGGCATTCATCTTGCGCTCAGTCACTAGTAAATTCACTCTTCGGGTTCGTAATTTATCATACGACGTACTGTTAATATCGCCCAAACCCTTTAAAAGAGAATGAACATTTTCACACTCCTTTTCCTTAATACAACACTATATTCCAAACATAATATCCACACACCTATGCTAAACCAGGTAATACACCCTACTACTCTTTTAATCTCTAGATTAGAAGGTAACGTGATTTTATTTCTCATCTTCATTTCGCACCGTTTTCTAATCGACGTTTGCATTTCGGCATTTGTGAGCGCACCCAAGGGGTGATGTGAAAGTGATCTCGTTCTTTGTACTTAATTAGAAAGTGACGGTTTTATACTGGGATATGTAATTGCCCATTTAAGTGATATCGCAAAAGATTATCATGAGGTGGTGAAACCCTTTTATTATCGAGGTCAGCTCCGTGTAGTCCAAATAATTTGCAGTACTGTAACGGGGTAGCCCGTTACATGAAATTGACACCAAACGGTGTCAATTGGAATATTTTCCAGCATGACAATATTCTACCAATGTTATCCGAGATGGATCAAGTCGAAGGAATATTATCCCCTTTTGGATAATGTAACGGGGTGAATCGTTACATAACAATTTATAAGAAATTGTTAATAGAATATAACTATAAGAGTTAGATTCTCAGAATATTGTCATAAGGACAATATTCTGCAGCACTTACGAGTAGTTCCTAATTGGTTGATATAGGCCATTATATCAACCAACGAAGACGCGCCACGACAGACGCACGCAATGAGTGGTGAGCAGATAACTGATTTACACATTTGTATTTAGACATAGTTAGATGAAGATAAATAGTGATTTATTGCAGACATTAACTATACTAAATACAGTTCTACTTTTACTTTAACCAAGTACTCACTTCTTCTTACCGTCTTCCTCTGCACGTACGAGTGTACGTGAAGTTACGAGACACCGCCTTATTCTGTTATCAGAATAAGTAGCTTGTACTGTCACCAGTACAAGCTTCAGGGTGCCCCGTTACACCTGGTAGCACTACGTAGTCCGTCCAAGAACCACGTTCACATCTAACATGAATATGTTGGATGATGAAGATGACCAAAGCTTTCACGCTACGCGTGACGGCTACTCCCATTTGCGATGTCGAATGGGATGCGGTTGAACGAATGGGTTCGACCATGGGCATCCATGCTGTTAGCGTCATGCTAGAGGCTCTCAATAGAGATGCCCAACATGCTACTATCGCCAAGTTCATTCAAAATGAACTTGACGCAGAACGCGAGAAAGTAGCCTTGCTTCACCAACAAGGTTCTCAACAAGCAGAGTTGTTGAGAGAACAAGGTGCTCAACAGTTTGAACTGTTGAGACAGCAGCAGGCTGCTGCTGGCGGGTCGATGCACTCGCGTCGACCCGAGACCTTGAAGATTGACATCTCCAAGTATAGGGGAGTCGAAGAGGACTCCCTCTTGAGATGGTTCGTCGAATTGGATGACGCCATAAGGGCGCGTCACATCGACGACGGGGATATGCAAGTTGCATTTGCCCAATCAAATCTGTAAGGACGTGCCAAGACTTGGGCACTGGGGCTCAAGTTGCACGACCCATATGCGTTTGGGTCGTTGGAAGTCTTCAAGTCGCGGCTCAGACGAACGTTTGAACCGCCTAGAGCTGAGTTCAGGGCTCGAACCGAACTCTTGAAGCTCAAGCAGGGTAAGCGTGATGTGCACGCTTACGCTCAACATATACGACATCTTACGAGTTGTATAAGTTCCAATCCAGTGGATGAACACACGTTGGTTTCGGTGTTCATGCAGGGTCTTGCGGATGGTCCCGTCAAGACTCACCTGTTCCGGCTTGAACTAGATTCACTAGAACAAGCCATTTCCATTGCGGAGCAGGAAGACTTCAGTCTGAGACAGGCTCGCGCCAGCTCGACATCATATCGTCAACCGAGACGATATGACAGCGGAGGTCCAGAGCCGATGGAACTCTGTTATGTAGAGAGCGAGAAGGCTAGCTCTACAGACTACAAGAAGTTGCAGAGATGCAACAGATGTCAAAAGACAGGACACTACGCTTACGAGTGTAGTGCCTCTCATCCAGTGTCTCGCAACACTGGGCGTAATGACCGTCCACCCATGAGAAAGGGGCAGGGACGCGGGTCCGCAGTTGGTGCAAAGACGCAACAACGGGATGGACCGTCAAAAAACGGACAGGATCAGTAGGTGCGGAGCACCCTACTGGTCTAGCAACGTCAAGAGAATTTGTAGGCCTCTTGATGAAGGTTGCTCCCAACACACAAACGTTGTGCGTTGCTGCTCTAGGTAATGAGATCTCACTCATTACCTTGAAACTCGAAGTGACAAATAAGTCGTCCCTTCGAGCTCTAGTCGATTGTGGGGCGTCCAACAATTTTGTGCGACGCCAATCGCTAGAAGATGGTCACTTTGAATTCAGTGAATGTGACACACCTCCTACGAGGATGACGGTACGTCTTGCGACAGGCGCATCCGTAACCGTCATGAAGCGTATAGTGAAGATTCACTATACGCTAGAAGATACCCAATATGACGATGACTTTATCGTATTGGATTTGGATGACAAATTTGATGTCATCCTTGGAATACCGTGGCTCAGAAGGTACGAACCACGGGTAAACTGGCAACATCGGACAGTAACGATGCCTGCCGCTTGTTCATCAGATGGCCATCTGATGAACGTTTTGGAGCGTCCACAAGCGTGTGGATGTACTACGAGTGAGTGCGATGGCCTCACTTGTGGTACGGTCGTTAGTACGACTGCACAAAACCTTAGTGTACCAAACGGTTACACTTCGGAGCAAAGTTCCGGCGGCTGTGAGGAAACACAGGCTGCGCCGAAGGTCCACCACTCGAATAAGTCGGGTGGACCGGGACAAAGATGTATGCCTAGAGGGGAACATCTAGAAGAGAAACAATCGATCGCTCAGGTTAAGCGAAGCGATAATCCTAGATCGACTGGAGAGTCTTTCGTAGAGGATCTCGCTGTGGTTGCGCAACCCCAGCTAGAGAAAGTAAAGGGAATAAGTCCCAAGATTACAAATACGGCGGAAATAAGTTCCCCGAAACCCGCGGGAACAAGTCCCCGGGAAGCCGAAGGAATAAGTCCTTCGAAACCTGAGGGAATAAGTCCCCAGGAAATGACAGAGACATTGAATGTCATAGTCAATAACGGATCATGTGTAGGCGCTTATACACTTGATCTGATTGCGCCTCCGAAGTTAACTTCGGAGATCACTCAGTTTCCAACGCTCGAACATAAAAGGTTCTTGCGTGATCTGCGTAGTGGCAAAGTCAAGCAGATCTGCATACTCGTCGCTGACGACGAGTGTGTAACCGACATAGGGTCAGCAACAGTGTTTACTGAGAACTCTCTCGTTCTCAGTAGTTCATCTATGGACGAGAGTGTCCTAGATGAAAATACACGAATTGAGCAAAATGACTCCCAATCATGGGAATCGCTCAAGAAAAATCCTCTCTATGAAGATTTGGTTGAATTCAAGGATGTATTCCCTGAAACTGTTCCGTTCGAATTACCGAAGGATAAAGGTATTCGACACGAGGTCGAGCTTAAAACAGGCTCGAAGCAATGTGTCATGAAGCAGTGGCCACTGCCTCGTGAACAAGTACTTGCGATCGACAAGTTCTTTGCCGATCGTTTAGCAGCGGGCCATGTGAGTGAATCAACTTCCCCACATAGCTCTCCGACCTTCTGTGTGCGAAAAGCAACAGGAGGGTGGCGGATAGTGCACGCGTTCAACAAATTGAACGCTGCAACGGTACCGGCTCAGACGCCGATACCGAGGAAGGACGTAATCATTGATGGTATGTCAAAGAGTACCATCTTTTCGTCCATGGATTTGATGGATGGCTTCTATCAAATCCTAATGCGGGAACGGGATATACCCTATACCGCAGTTAGCACGCCTAGCGGCATGCTCTGGGAATGGCTAGTAATGCCACAAGGGCTCAGTAATGCCCCTGCCACGTTCAACAGATGTGTATCACATCTGTTGAGGCCAGTACGAGAGTTCGCGCCGAGTTATTTCGATGACGTATTCATCCATAGTCGAGCTATGGATGGAAAGTCGGACGTTGAGGTTCACAGGTACCACGTCCGACAAGTTCTTTCAATCATGCGAAAGCATCAATTGTATGCAAACCTCAAGAAGTGTATATTTGCAGCAAGCGAAATACTACTTCGTCGGTGCATCGTTGGTAAGAACGGTGTACGTCCTGATCCCGAAAAGATCAAGGCGATCACCGACTGGCCTGTGCCGGTCGATGTCAAAGGTCTTCAAAAATTCCTTGGGCTAGCGGCGTATTTGCATAAGTATTCACGCAATTACGCCGAGATGACTGTGCACCTCTCTCGTTTGTTAAAATAGGACGAGAGGTGGTTATGGAACGCTGAATGTCAACGCTCCTTTGAGGGTATCAAGCAGAGCTTGATACAATCCCCAGTCCTAGCAATAGCCGATCAGGACAGGCCATTTCATGTGGTCTGTGATGCCAGCGTTTTCGCAATCGGCTGTGCATTAATGCAGTACGATCTTGAAGGCGTTGAACGCGTCGTCTGCTATCAGTCGCGTCAGCTGCAACCAGCTGAGCGGAACTATCCAGTGCATGACAAGGAACTCCTTGCCATGAAGTATGCACTCGTGAATTTCAGAGTCTATCTCTTAGGAGATAGACCCTTCGTTGTTTACACTGACCATGCGTCATTACGCACGGCAGTGAACAGCCCGCACCTTTCACAACGAATGGCGCGGTGGTTGTCATTCTTTGCAGAATACAACTTTACGGTCGAGTACAAACCAGGACGACTTAACGTCGTCGCTGATGCACTCTCACGTCGTCCCGACTTTGAAACAGTCGCGAAACCCAACAGTGAGACAGTCACTGTTGCGGTTATGACGTCCTCTGTTCCATCTACAATGTTGTATGATGATGTGAGGCGGGCATACGCCCAAGATGGTGAGATAGTGAAGTTGTTGTCACATCTCTCCCAACCATCCCGAGAATCGTTGAAACGATTGTCGCCTGCGTATCGATCTGCATCAGATCGATACACTACTCGCAACGGTTTACTGTACTATACAGCCGTTTCTGGTGACACACCACGTGTTGTCATTCCAGATGATACTGATCTGCGTTTGCGGATCATGTTCGAGTATCACGATGCTCCTATAGGAGGACATCGTGGCCGAGAGAAAACATATCTCACGGTAAGTCGAGACTTTTACTGGCCCCGCCAGTATCAGTTTGTGCGAAAGTATGTTCGCGCATGCGAAGTCTGCCAACGAGTGAAGTCAAGTCCTTCACTGCGTGCACCTTTACAGCCTCTACCGGTTCCGGCTGAGTGCTGGGAATCCATCTCAATGGATTTCGTCTTCGGGTTACCCAAAGACGCACGCGGGAATACGGGTATTCTCGTATTTGTTGACAGATTCAGCAAAATGGTACACCTTGTGGCTGTACCAGAGACAATCACGGCAAGTGGCTGTGCTTGTGTCTTTATTGACACCATCTTCCGACTTCATGGGTTGCCCCGTGAACTCGTATCAGACAGAGATCCACGATTCACTGCTGATTTCTGGCGGTCCGTGTTCAAATCACTCGGAACGCGCTTGAAGATGTCAACATCTGATCATCCAGAGTCAGATGGTCAGACGGAACGTGCCAATCGTGTCCTTGAAGAGATACTTCGAGGATACGTACACTCCTTTAAGAGTTGGAGTGAGTTTTTGCCAATGGTAGAGTTTGCCATCAACAACTCGGTGCATGCGTCCACGACACATACACCGTTTTACGTGAATGGCTTACGCCATCCGCGTGTACCCACCTTACTAGAGTGTAACTCTGGTTTAAGGGGGGAGGGACTCGCGCGAGCAAAAACCGATTTGGTTCACGCTCATCACGCTCTGACGTAGAAGTCATTGCGTTTGATGCCGATATCGATAACATCGATATCGAAGAAGATGATGCCAGTGAGAGTGCGGAAGCCCTCACTGAAGACAATGATCCCAGCGAGAGTGCGGAAGCCCTCACTGAAGAAAAGGTTGTTGTTGCTGCAGTGTTCTCACAGCACACTGAAGCTAACGAGTCATCAGATGAGTTCATACTGGCTCGTGAAACGGTAGTCCGTTTTGTGCAAGACTCCATCGCCGAAGCGGTGGACAAGCAAAAGCAAAACGCTGACAAGAATGGAAGGGCAAACACTCTTTTATTTAACAAAGGTGACTTAGTCCTACTGTCTACGGTTAATCTACCAAAGCATGTAGTGACTAACTTGGGTAGCAGTAAACTACTACCCAAGTACATTGGCCCATTTCGTGTATTGCACCGCCTAGGCAATGCATACACGATCGAGTTACCACGTAAGATGCGAACGCATCCCACGTTTTACGTTGGTCGGCTTAAGCCGTACCATCAGTACGCTGCTTCTTCCGATGAAGAACGCCCTTGCGCTCAAGCATCTCGCAGAGAGCCTTGTGCTCCCGATGGTGGGCATCAACAAGGGTCTGAAGAGCAGTTATCTCAGCCCGAGACCGATCAACAATCCCACGAGCTACCCTTAGCTCGTCACGAAGAGATGTCAGAGATCTCTCGTTCTCGAGCTGAGCAAAGGCAAACTCAGCTCGATGCTTCAAGACAGTGTCCGCCAGTTGAAGACGCCTATTCCGCTCATGTTCGAGATCGCCGCGTAACCCTTGCGTTACGCGATCAAAGAAGCTCTCGGGAACACACGGATCCCCACGATTGTGTGGAGAGCGTCTTCCCTCCTCCTCCACCTCCATTAGAGGACTCTCGCGGTGGCCAGCGCTATCTGGTTGAGCAGCTGTTGAACCACCGCGACGTGAACGGACGTCGGACGAGTTATCTCGTCCGGTGGCGCGGCTATCCTCCGTCTTGGGATACTTGGGAGCCCCGCTCCCAACTGATGGTTGACGTACTGGGTCTGGTTGAGCAGTACGACGCGGCACATCCTGTGCCGCAGAAGGACCGCCAAAGAAAGTCTTCCCGGCACGGTCGTAAAGGGATTTCAGGTTGTCAATCCCTTCGTACATCTCACTAGAGATACGTACGCGCCACCACGGGCTATTAGGGAGGTAAGCCTCCTTAGGTGCTCGTGCAGAGTTGTTCACACAACATGGGCACGAGTCTCCCCAAGAGAGGCAGGGTAATCCTTTCTCCCTTGACAGACGATGCAGCTTGTAGCGTGCACCTGTCGGGGTTCGCTTTTCAAACTTTTCACGAGCTTTGATAAGTTTGTCGTTCCAAACGTCACGACCTACATCCTCAAGGTTATGGATGTAGGCGCTCCACGCTTGAAGTAGTGAGGGACCATCACGCTTGTGATTCCCACTGTACCATCGATGTCTAAAGAAAGCATCGATGATAAATTCATTCTCAGCGCGATAGTTTTTCGCGCTGGGGTCAAGGTGATGGATCCTTGACGAATGAACAACCGTGTTCGATAACGATCACTCGTCGTCGCCGACAAGTGATCCATGACAGATTTTGGAGGCATCCATGCCTTCTTTTCTGGAGCGAGACGCAAGACATTGCGGTCCCGCTCTTCTTGCGACATGCCGACAGAAGGACTGGCACCTCGTTGCGAAGTGGTGTCCATAGGAGAACCGACACCACTGTTAGCGCCCGAGTCTCGCGACCTCAAGCGCCTTCGCTTCGGCGATGGTTCATCTGATTCGTCAGATGAACCAAAGATGCTGCGACGCAAAGCATCGTCCATGCCACGCTTGGCAGGCGGCTTGGATTCAATTGCCGTCGATACGGATCCGTCATCCGTATCAGGAGAGTACGAGACACCGAGCTCGTACTCTGTGAAGACACGAGTGTCTTCATGACCAGCGCCTGCGTCACCAAGTGACACAGGCTGGGTCGCTTCAGCAACCGATGGGACATCAGTTGCTGTTGTTTCTGCTTCGGCGTCCGCACAGAGACGTGCAGACGCGCTCTCGGCGGCCTTGCTCGCGCATCTCATGGGCTTGTTAACCATGCGATGAAATGTTGGGAAGTGGACGCGGACCAACAAGTGCAAACCCTGTCCCAAATGATTTGGGACGAGTATCCATTTAGTCAATCAGTAACTAAAGTGACTGATGGTTAAGGGGGGGTGATGTAACGGGGTGAATCGTTACATAACAATTTATAAGAAATTGTTAATAGAATATAACTATAAGAGTTATGTTCTCAGAATATTGTCATAAGGACAAACATTCTGCAGCACTTACGAGTAGTTCCTAATTGATTGATATAGGCCATCATATCAATAACGAAGACGCGCCACGACAGACGCACGCAATGAGTGGTGAGCAGATAGTTGATATGCTCATTTGTATTTAGACATAGTTAGATGAGGATAAATAGTGATTTATTAACAGACATTAACTATACTAAATACAGTTCTACGTTTTACTCTAACCAAGTACTCGCTTCTTCCTACCGTCTTCCTCTGCACGTACGAGTGTACGTGAAGTTACGAGGCACCGCCTTATTCTGTTATCAGAATAAGTAGCTTGTACTGTCACCAGTACAAGCTTCAGGGTGCCCCGTTACAGATAATATTCATGCGCTGTTCCAAGAAGGGCTGATACAAGACATGTCAATCATAGATTGCCATCAATCGCTGCTAGACGCGCGCAATGAGTGGTGAGTAGGTTGTCGTCAGATGACGACGTAGTGTAGTATAGTTAGATAAAGATTAAGTTATATTGATAGCTTAACTATGTTAAATACAGTTCTCTTTTTACCTTTACTTGACCGAGTCGTTCAAGTAGATTAGCTTCCTCTGCACGTACTAGTGTACGTGAAGTTTTGCGGTACACCAAACAAAGGGTGCCCCTTTACAATGCAGCATCGTGATACTTCCAGTTTGACAGTCAAATTGCACGACCGCTACTACTTCGCTGACTGCAGCTCTTGCTCGTGGATAGTGTGGTTGAGCAAGCAAGGCGACCGTTAATCTTTTTCTGATATGTGTTTAATTTTTGTGACATATACATGCTACCGGCTCGTCCAATGTCGATTGAAAAGCACTTGGCCGTGGCAACTGATGCAAATACAATTGATAGTGCTAGCGCATCGTCGTCAACAGGAGACACATTAGCTGTACTTTGTAACGATAAGTACCGTGTGGTGTTGTAGCGCAAGCATCCGGTTGAGCTGGTAGATTGTTGCGTTATGCAATTGCAAACGGAGGCGCATGTATGGCTAACACTAGTTTTAAGAATAATGAATGGTAATGAAGTATACAAAAGTTGTCTCGATTCTGTGGTTCTACTTCCTGAAATCAGGATTTCATTAAACACAGAATGTGGCTTGCAATGCTATCTCGCCGCTTCTTCTGCGATGACTATTCCCAACAAAACTACACAACTAGGCATTAAGCTACCAGTTCTATACTACGCATATCATTGCAACGACCTCTTTCCGTCGAGATATAAACGGACTTCTTTTCGCACGATGGGCGGCTCTTACATTGGTCTATACTTGCGAGAAGCCTGTTTTCGGTACGCAGCAATATTCAGATTAGTCCGTCATTTCCATCGCCGCATTCTCATCGCTGAGCGAGCAACGCGACAGAAGACAACCCTTCCAAGCGCGACTGTGTGGCATCGTCACTGTTTTAGCATAGGCGATAGTAAAGTCATGGTATGTTTGCGTGGTCAATGTTTTCGAAAGGTGGTGGAGAAGAACCGGTCAGCCTTCTTACTTACTAGCGATGTGCTAGCCATAGGTGTGCGCGGCATACTGCATAATCGTTACAAGGATTACCGTGACAATTGGAATCATCCACGTACAGACGGTGTGAAGTCCAATTTGATGGCCTTGTCGGCTTATTTTATCAGCGCTTGTCGAAGTTTAGCGTGACCTTACGCTGTCGTGATTGTAGTATTATCTAAAATATCGAAATAGAGGATCACATGAGTCGAGAAAAGCATTTGATGCAGGAGTAACAAGCCCTAGAGTACAGTAATAGTTCGCAAAAGTTGGAGTGAACACTTAAGGGCTTGGTCAGCAACTACTGTACACACGATTATCCAAGAGGTTTAATGACTCTACGCGTTTCAGCATTTTCTACGGCATCACCGGGCAACTCACCAATTCCGTTATTCCTCCATGCGCGCTAGTTTTTACGCAGTCACGTCCGCGACATGCTTTTTGATGTGAGACAAATAGCATTCTCCACAATACGTCAAATTGCATGGAATAGTTGCTGTGTCCACTACTACGGACTCGTTCAAACGAGTAATTTGCATACACCTAGAAGTGTATCAGCATGTTACACCTTCCATCCAGCGCTATCTCATTCACAAGTTATCAATGATCGTGGTGGAGTATGTGTAGTCTGACACATCGAGAGCTTGGCTACGTCCACCGCAATCCTGGTTAGCATGCAGCGGTCAGAGTGACAAAGGTAAGGTCGTTAAACGTGCGGTCGTCCTTTTCCAGTCAGAGCCTAAAGTGTGGCTTGTCATCACAATAAGGCACTGCATCTTCATGCTGGCATCCAGCTCTTCACTTCAGTCTTGGATGATAGTTGCGTTCACGTGCACGATCTCTGACTGCAGCAAGCAGGTATTCAAACAAATCAATCGTTCAGCATTGGCTAGTTGTATACATCGCATTCGTACCGATCGGTACTACCGATGCGATCGTTCAGTCAAGGGATCTATCCGAGCAACACACCAGCAGATAACGCTTAACCCGCCGATGCTCTTGCAGTCTCCTAACAAGTACAAGTTTATACCACCATTTTATAAATTGTTAAGCGAAAAGACCGACGTCGACTTTACTTGCGACCAAGTGAGTTCGACCACCGTGAAGTACCTTGCCATTTGCTTGAAGAATCACACTAGCTGCTCCACTTGCTACTCACGCCGCTTGCTAGACCTAGCGTACAACAGAATATCTGGAGACTTTGGGGCAAAACGATATTAAACGAGTCAGAATCGATGCGCGAACGAGACAAACATGAAAAAGAACAGTGGTCACCGATCTATATTATGACGCTGACTGTTGCAATCCCCATTATGTCAAGTGAGGAGGTATTTCACGCCTTCTTGCCTGTCCTAGATACTTTGCGTATTCGCGGACAGTAACAACCACCGTGTCTCTGACCAATTCATCACTTTTGTGGCAGGCGCTTTCGAGCATCCTTCCAAGGTCTTTGGCGGATATATTGTTTTTATAAAGGATTAAAAAAAAAATAGCCGTCACGTCTGAAATCCTGGCTGCGGAGTTTCAACATCGCCGAGTCAACATCTTGATCGAAGCGACTTAAGCCCATTTTCAAGAGCGCCGCCTGGTCGTCTTTTGATTGTTGCTCAATTCGAGCTTTCTGTGCGGCTGCCGCTTTGTTAGCTCTTGCCTGCTTCGCTGCAGCGTATGCAGCCGTCCTTGGAATGAATGACTTCACTTTTGTGGTGAGTGAATTGATCAGCTGGCTGAAGCCAGCCGAGTTTAGCGCTCGCAGTGATCGGGCGTCTTTACGTGCATTAACATCAGTAGAAGGAGCCGAACGAAAGGACGAGTTCTCTGGCGTCGCAGCGATTGAAACCACGTCACTGGAACAAAAAAGCAGCAGAACCACAATCAAGAGCAGGTTGACAGACAAATTCATAAGGGTTAAAGCGGCTTTGAGCGAAAGGTGAGGTCTTTGAGGCGAAATAGAGAGTGAGAGCTCCATACTATAGTCTGAAACAAGTATTCGTTCAGCATCCTGGAGGTTTTGAGTCTATCCATCAGATGGATGGGATAGAAAACTACTGGACTCTTACAGCTGCTCGGGCGTCGATTTTTGTGGCTCTTACGTGCCGTGCCTTTGTAGACCCTTTACTACAGTACGTGAGATCTCTGTCGATTTGCTCAAAAATCATCTGGCATTACTTCGAACGTGGCAACGTTTCTTGTCGTGGTAATGACCTTAGCGTAGAAAGTTGCATGCTTTCTCGACAAGAGGGGCAGACCCACAAATCTATGCAGAGGGAGCGTACTTGGCTGTAAAGCTACAGCTTTTTCTTTGTCCTTAAACAATCTGGAAAGCTCCGGTTTCTGCTTGTGCTGTCCACTATATCGTATCGTCGTCCGCTTACGCTTGTTGCAGCTACTAGCGTTAATTTTGATTGTAGTTTAATGCTTCGAGAATAACCGTTTCATGTTTGGAAATACATCAACTGATACGTGCTTAACACTACGAAATAGACCGTAAGATGACAGCAGGGAGCATTCGTACTGTGAGATATTAAAGCTCAAACCGCTTCGCTTTACCTTATTCGCATTATAGTGACGCAAGTTCATAATTTTCGTCTGTATTTGAAACTTGAAAAAGACAGCAGGACTTACTTCTTTCTCGTATTGTGTCTATATTGGCCAGCGGACCATTTCGACATGTATAGACGATGGCGACATTATATTTCGGATAAACTTGCGTGCGTCAAGCCACGCTAAAAACGCTGCGATTATACTATACACACCAGATGGACTCACGCACGTGGGACGGCACCGGTAGATAGCGTGTCATCGTACCAATATTGCGCTAAAAGCGAAAATCTTGTACGACTGAGGGGGCGGGGACAAGAACTGAAATCGTTATACATTTCTTGCTCGCTACGGTGAGGCCGCTCAGAAAACTGAGGCACATTACTTAGCTCGATGTTGTGACGTTGCGTACTACAACTGACGCGTTCATTGTTTGCCTGTACCGTTTGCTCGCGCAGCTATACTGAGGCGGCTAGCCTCGCTAAATATTGTGTGGGCGTGGCAGCGCTAATTATTCGGGATTTAATCGCCCAGTGGCTGCTCACTGACTCGAAGACACAAGTCTATATAGACGAGCATGTCTGCTGCGATGTTGTTGAGCGAAGAGCTTCCGCATTACCATGAAAATTGAAAAGACGACTTAAACCTCGTATTTACTTCATCACTATTTTAGCTCATTGTATCTACTGTTCGGTCTTGGTCGCGCTGGATGACGTGTGCTGAGCCCACAATTTTTTCCTTTTGCCTATTCTAAATTCAATACAATGTCGAAATGGAAACTATCTTCAGACGTTCACGGCTGGTACGATGTTCCTTCTGTAACGGGGCACCGGAGAAAATACACTTGACAACCAGTGTGGAGCTACTCTTACCGACAGCAGAATGTGATGCCTCGCCACGTCTGTAAACTACGTAGAAGAAGAAATCGCAACTAGGAACTGACTAGTTGCTGGCATAAGTAAAACTGAATTATATTTAATCAAGTCCTAATCATTTATTTATGTTCTGTTCCTAGTGCTATCATGTTTATCTACAAAAGTTATACTAAAGTATTCTTCACTACTAAGCGTGTGCATCGATCGTCGATAGATTTGCCAAGAATGGCTGATATCATGACCCATATAAGCCCAATCTGTGGATGTTTATGAATATAACCCCTTATGGTTAAATCCACGAACATTATAAACCTTTATGATTAAATTCTAATCAAAAAGTATCGAGGGTGAACTACATGTAACAGGCTCACCACGTTGCAATACCCCCCACCTAAAATAAAAGTCTCTCAATCACCATCATTAAATGTGGTCATCGTTGGACGACATCAGAGACAGGAACATTTGTGTTCGTTCGTTCTGTTTAATTTTAAGTCTTTATCGCATGATGAGCATGCTTATGCAACGCACGGCGATAGCTTTTAATAGGCAGTCGCGCTTGTCAACGCAGCTTTTGTAGACGTCGCCCAGACTCTCGCGGCCGAAGATGCTTCGTCCGCTGCTTTTGTAGCTTTTTCTGCAGCATCAGTTGATCCAGATGCTCGTGGTGAGTCATCACGTGCAAATGATGATGGCTCCCGAGTGGAGCTTATATTTAGGAGGCTTGTACACTCGGTCCAGATCGATGAAGGTACCTAGTTTGCCTGAGTCTAAAAAAGCAGCCGAAAATTAGTGTGCGAGTAGGACTTGAGCGGTTAGTTAGACTCATGGTCACTACAAGAGTAGGTTTAGCTTAAAGGATGAGCATGCTGACTACTCCACCGCGCCTGCTACTGCGCATTCGTATTCTAGCAAATGCGGTGATGACTTTCACCGTTATGATGACGATTTTGGTGATTCCTGAACTTCCGCTGGTTCCAGACAGGTGGCTATAAACGTCAATATGTTGCGCCTTTTACCTGAACTCAAGCCTTCGGTATTACTATAAAGAAAATCGAAATTTTTGTCAGGCGAGACAAGTCTCGCATCAAATTTATTAATTCGATGCGAGGCTATTGCACGGCCTCGATAGCAGCGCCAGCAAATTTCGCGCCGAAGAAGAACGCTATCCGGGTGCTTTTCTGAATCATCGCTAATACAATGGCAACACTAAGCGAGACAAAATCTCGTTGCAGCAGGCGTAAACGCCTTTATACTTAATGTGCAGCACATTAGGCGCGAAGTATAGCAGTAAAAGCTTAATCCAGCACGTGTTAGGCTTGAGAAATGATCTTTGAAGCTGTTGCAAAACGAGGTTGCACTATCTGTCTCGTGAAGCAGAAATCACATGCCTAGCTTGAGGCGACTCATGTCCGCATTGTTTTGCTAAACGTAACGCATTAATAGGGATGCATTCTCCCTTTCTTCGCCTTATTGTTGGGCGCACCTATCTTCTGAGATGTACGATGCGATTTTTGCTTTTGCAATCGCTCTACCATCGCCAAGGGGTTTTCTTTCCGATGGCTCTTCCGAGGTTTTAGATGTGTCTCGTCGTTCTGCTGGAAGTGACCCTAAACATCAATCATAAGCTGGGCGCGAAGCTCCAGCTGTCGCGTGACCGTGGATATCCGCGCCAGATAGCAAAATAACTTATTCGCTGCCCCTTCACATCGCCGGGATTTAAGATGCGCTCAATCTTAAAGCATTAACCGCCTTACAAGTCCATTAGTGCCTGTCGTGGAGGCTGGAGTATCAACTCCGAATCGCTATTGTAGTTAACGGTGGAGCTTAGGCGTCTCCAGCATCGCTTTATAGATATGTGTAATCGAATCGAACGAGATAGGCAGAAGCGTCTTCTTTGGCGGTGTGATTGCAACGCATCCACCTTTATCGATCAGACGGCCGGTCGGAGTCTACGTTCTACCAATAAAAAACCAAGCGGAAGTGTCAATCCTATCGCGACATGTTGGCTGACATTTGTCGCCAGCATGCAGCACTACCGAGCCATATTAAGAAACCGGCTCGGGTCCAAAATGATCGTTAGGGGGCTCCTGAGCGTGGCATTAGTATTTTCTCGGGCTAGAGATCTCGTGCTGAAGGTACGGGCGGTGAGGAGCGACATGATACGTAGTATGCGTACGCAATCCGAGAGGCAACTGGATAGTGTACGCATTGACACTTTGATGTAGTTCATGAAACGGGCCGATGCACGTGTGTAGTAGTTTACTAACACCCTCATTTATAAAAGCTTGCTAGGGTAGATTTACCGTAGATAGTAGAGCTAAGTCCCTGACATTAGATAGAATGAACTTGGCTCTTTTTTGTTTGTCAGTGTTCCGTTTCTTGTGGTTTACTGCGTTAGAGATTAATTATCTAGCATGAAACGAACCACTGCTTCTCGTGCCAGCGGGAAAACTTCTGCTGACTCACTTTGGTTTGTTGCAGCGCACCTTGTACGCACTGCCAAGAGATTATCTTTTTGTTTAGCGAAGATGTTCTTATCCTCGCTTATGTAGTCGTTGGAGATCCTTTGATTCACCAGCTTCGTCATCACTATCCGCTTCGATGTCGATTCGAACGACATCGGCAACATTCGCGTCGTCGAGTATCTCGACACGTGTTGATCAAAAGTCAGAACGATTTTCGCTAGAGCGAATCTCCTTTAAATCGTAGTCAACATTTTAATAGGTAGGTAGGCGTGGATGGCGTTAACCGTTCTCCAAATATGGTAAATGCGTTGTCGACGCATGCACGGAGTTGTTGATAGCAAACTTAACTATCGGCAAAAAATCGCTTTACTCTGTGTAAGATTGTAAGTAATCTCTTTGCTTTTCTTCGAGTACGCGGTTAAAGCTCTCTGTCTGACCGTCAGATTAAGCATGATCAGATGTGAACATATACATCCTTTATTCAAGTTATCGGTAGACAAATTGCCAAAATGCAGCCGTGAACTGAGGATCTACATCAGCGACTAGTTTGATCGAATACGTGGAATCAAAATACCGTGTCGATAAGACAAGGGAACATTAATGTGATGCGAATGACTCATTAATTGTTTAGAATCTGCCAATTTGATGAATCGGTCTACGAACACAAAAATGTCATTATTCTTGTGAGCTCCTGCAAAAAATACGAAGATGTTATCATTGCGACAAACTACCTGCACTCTGCCGGATTAAATAGAGGCTGTAGTGACGCACATGATGAAGACCTGGGCTTCATTCGTTAGTACACCTCGCAAGCACGAATGTACTTGCGCACACTAACGGGGCCAGTGAAATGCGCGACTCACCGAAATATAAGTCTTCTCACGCCAACAATGCTGTCTGTATGGCGCATCATGAAACTTATACGTGATGCACAGGCGAAAATTGTTATTGTTAGTGAGGACGGCAGCACGAGGTGATTCGACGGCACCGGCTGCATTGTACAGCAAACCGTTGCGTGTAGC